GAGAGAGAGAGAGAGAGATGACCTGGATAAATATTGTCTTCGAAATGCTATCAGAGAAAGCAGTGATGTTTGCAGTAACGATTTTTAGGTTCAAAGATTCAAACATTTCATTAAGCTTTACCATTGTATCTGTTCTTTTGCTACATGTGAGGCTGATTATAACTGTCTTCTCTCCCATGCTGGATACTCTTAACTGCCAATCATGAATTAATACTAATAAAAATGACAAATTAATCAAAGTTTGTGGAGGAGAGGAAAGTTAGTAGATAAAATTTGAATAGATAAATATATAGTATAGCTTAAGATCTTAAATCACACAAGATCAATACGAAAATAAGGTCTTTGGATCAAGTTTCAGTGCCATCAGGTATTTATGAAAGTTATGCACTTGTGAGTCCTTCGATTTCAAACAGTGGTCATAAAGCTTGAAATCTGGAGCAATAAGAATGAAAGTCCTACCACGGCTACAACTATTGGCACTTCAAAAGGCTAAGGTCCTGAAAAATCACTTCTATAGTCCATTTCATATCCCGTGAATACGAGGCTAAGACAATTCTTTTAAGACTTGCATGGACATCCATTCAAATATTTGAAACAAATTTAAAACAGTCGATCAAAATCCACCGCATCAGCACTCGGCAATTTCCCCTACACAAACAGCTTTATAAATAAATAAATGCTTATTTGCTTAAGCTACTCCTAGGTGAGGTGGCTCTGTTGTAGTCCATCTGACCTAACTCATCCTTGTAAAATTTGTTTGATAATCTAATGTTTGCCCTTTTTTTGTAATTTATAACTGGACGATGTGGAACGTGCTTTACACGTTCAACAAGAAAGAGAGGTGCCCACCTGGATAACTTCAATGGGAGATGATCTTGACCCTCTGAAATTATGGAAACGCTCCTGATCAGTTCTTATTCTCTTTGACTTAAAGATTTCCTCTTGATCAAACTCAAAAACTGTACTTTTTGATGAACTTCCTGCAGATTCCATATCTGATATTTCGGCTTGAATTTTCTTCTCTTCTTCATGTAATTTGTTGATATACTCCATGGCATCCCTGATTATGGATTCTTTATCCATCTGATTTTCCAGAAACATTTACCAAATTGATCAGATAAATTATTTTCAATGAAATATAAGTTTCATCTAATGACAAAATTATTAGCAAAAAATAGGCTGGCTGAAAAGGCAGCAAGACATATAGCAGTAAGAGCACGTTTGGCTAGGCCTGAAAAAGTGAAGTTAACTTCTATGCTTAGAAAAACAGCTTGAAGCTTTAAAAGATATGTTTAAGTAACTGTTCTTTTTTCCCCCTAAACATGCTCTTTTTTTTCTTTTTCTTTTTTTTTCTTTTTCATTTTTTTTGCTGGTTGAAAAAATGATAAATAGAACGTATAATGCACCACCTTTGTAATGTTGGGAACCACTGATCTCAGTGCATATAACTTTTCAGTGAGTTTCTTCCTTCTATTCCTCTCGGAAATAATATTGTTTTTGGTGGTCATTGATGACTGCTTTTCAACAGGAGAGCTCAAATCATAGTGTGCAGAAAATGCTTCACCCAAATAATTACTGCAAAGGTAAAATCAATCTCATTATAGTATACTTCTAAGATACCAACAAGTAACCAACACGAGAAACACAGAATTCGAGTTTAGGGTTTCAGGGTTACACATATCACTGAACACGAAACTCGAATTCATATGCTTGCGTTAAGAAAAGAGAAAATTGTACCTATCAAGTTCATCAGCTTGGAGGAACATAGTTTCCCAATAATGTGTGCCTTCAACACTATCCTTTTCCATTTTGTGTGTAGATATGCTTTCTTGGAATGAAGGGATTGAATAAATTACATGCATGTAGGGTTCTTATAAGTTCATGTATCATGTATGGCCGTCAAATACACAGTTTAGAAAATGGTGTACAAAACCGCGTACAGAAGCTATCAATCTACTTCATTGATAGTGATTTGAGATGCTATTCTTATTTATGAATGAGAAGTTGTACGGTTAATTTATCCTTTGTGGGTCCCAAATTTCACAATTTTCTGGGCGGACCAAATGGACACTTAACCGTCCAAAAATGTAGAAGTCAATAGAATCGCTACTTTGTCAATGAAGGGGACAAAATAAAAGTCCTAAGATAAAAACGGAAGAT